GTTAGAGGAAAAAACATCAGTGGCAGGTGGAAGTGACTGATTTAATTGTTGGTACAAAAGTGGACGTAGAAACCAAAAGAATTGTGAAAGAAAAAAGAAAAAACAGGAGTGATTTCAGACTCCCGGGCCCCAGCGAGGTGAGAGGCTAGGCAGAGAGCCCTGCCGGATGCGGGTCTCGGGCCATGACAGGGTGGCAGGCACCCGCCTGGGCGTTCTGTGGACGTTCTGCTTCCACACTGCCCGCTGCTGGGCTTCTCCTCCTGGGCCGCCTGAGCGCTGTCCTGTTACTGCAGTTCCTGGCCTGGAACAGTCCGCCCCTCACCTCCGAGTTTGTGGCCCTGCTGCCGTCACTGGTGGACGCGAGCACGGCCCTGGAGATGCTCCACGCGCTGTTGGACCTGCCCTGTCTGACTGCGGCCTTAGACCTGCAGCTCAGGTAAGCCTGAGTGCCCCCGCTGACCCCTCGCCCCAGTTCCAGCTTCGATCTACTCCTTCCCCTGCCCACCGGCCCACTATTCCCCTGGCTGTTCTGGGTCTGGAACACGATCCACCACCCCACAGAGGGCCTCCCTGTGGCTCATGCCAGCCTGCTGGTCACAGCCCTAGGTCGTGGGCCCCGCTCAGGCTCTGACCCACCTTGCAGGCCCAGGGCCTTCAGGCCCATGGCTGGGTCATGGTGCTGCAATGTTCAGGTGACATCAGCCCCTGGCTCTCTTTGACCCTTGTTGCACCTGTGAAGGCAGGAAGCCCAAGTCAGCCTCCCTGACCGGCGCCTGGAGCCTGCGCTTGAGCTGGCCTTAGGCAGCTGTCTGCTCACAGGTCGTTGCCAACTGTGTCGGCGGAGAGGCCGCTCTGGGACACCTCCCTTAGGGTCCCCAGCTGCCTGGAGGCCTTCCGGGACCCACAGTTCCAGGGTCTCTTCCAGCACCTGCTGCGAGCCAAGGCCAGTGGGACCACAGAGAGGTAGGGGCCACTGGGGCCTGGGACCGCCAGCATGGGCACCATGAGGTTGCATGTCTGGGTATGGCGGGGCACTCAGTGGGCTGTGCTGTGACCCCAGGTTGGCGCCCCTCCACCACCTGCTGCAGCCCATGGCCAGCTGTGCCCGAGTGGTCCAGTGCGCCGAGGCTGTGCCCATCCTGCTCCAGGTGTTCTTCTCGGCGGTTACGCAGGTGAGCCAGCTTCCAGGGCCTCACACACCCATGATAGTGGGGCCCTGGCACGGCCCTTGACCTTGGCAGGGCTTCAGTTTCCCGCTGGCAAAAGGGCCACCTCTTCAGGGGTCAGCGTAGTCACACACCAACCCCGGCCAAGGTCCTGGCCTTCCTGCCCGCCATCCTCACCCCAGAACAAGCACGTGAGTGGCCCCCAGGCCAGCAGAGACAACAGAAGGTGGTGCTCAGGAGGTGGGGCTGAACCTGTCTCTCGCTCTTGGCTCCCAGTTCGCTGACGGGGCCCTGATCAACCAGCTGGCACTGCTGCTACTAGAGAGAAGTGACTCGCTCTACCAGGTGCCCCAGTACGAGGCTCACGTGCACAGGTAGGTGCCCTGCCAGCCCCAGGAGGCTTCATTCCTCCTGTAGCTCAAGCGCCCCAGCACCCCACGTTCCATGACCCCTCACACGTGGCTGTCATGGCTTCAGTTACACACTTTGTCCTTTGTCACCATAGCGCCACCCTCCAGGCGGGGCCCTCAGCAGTTTACATCCTCCCACCCCCAAGGTCATTCCCCCCAGCCCAGCCTGGCACTTCTGGGTCACTCCTCAGACTCCAGCCCAGAATGTTCCATGTCCTTCCCTCCTCCCCTAAGTCTGTTGTCTTCAGCTCTGGCCCAGATCCCTCTTCCACAGAGCCTTCCAGACCATCTGCCCTCTTGCTGAAGGCCTGATACATAGGGACTTGCTGATCCGCTCTCACCCTTGGGTCCAGGACGGAGGGCAGTCCCAGCCCAGCCTCCTCCCCCGCGGGGCACTAGGTTCCTTTAGGGCCGGAACTATCTTTCCCTCCCTGAAGGGAGCAGCCTCTGCTGGTGCTTCCCACTCGCACCTGGGCCCTTGCCCCGGCCGAGGGGGCCGTGCTCTGACCCGGCCACAGGACCGAGCCCCACGTCTTCTCTGGGCAGGGTACTGAGCTCCCAATTCCTGGCCCTGTGTAAGCGGCAGCCCTCCCTGGTGGTGGAGCTGGCAAAAGAGCTGCTGGAGTTCGTGGGCAGTGCGAGCGGCGTCCGCAGCAGAGGGAGCATGCTCACCTGTGTGGTAAGGCCAGGCCCGTGCCCATCCCTCCCCTGGGAGGAGGCCTGGGCGTGGACTGAGGCCTGTCCCTGACCAGGTGTGGGCAATCGGCGAGTACCTGTCAGTGTCCTGGGACCGGCGATGTACCGTGGAGCAGATCAACAAGTTCTTTGAAGCCCTGGAGGCGCTGCTGTTTGAGGTCACCCAGTCCCGCCCCTCTGCCACCCTCCCCAAGTGTCCACCACAGGTCATCACCGTGCTCATGACCACACTGACCAAGCTGGCCTCCCGGAGTCAGGACCTAATCCCTCGGTACTGGTTAGGGGTGGGAAGAGGGAAGCAGCGGCGATTCCCCAGAGAAAAGGAAGAGGGGTCCCGTCCCAGGCGAGGGGACACCGTGTCAGCAGCACAGGGTCTGCTCGGGTGGCTGGGCTGTGCGGGCACCCCCGAGCCACTCTCCTCCCCACCAGGGCCACGCTAGCAGGGGCTCTGGGCAGCCGGGCCCTCCACGCAGAGAAGTGCGTCTCTGACTGCTCGTCCTTCTTCGCCAGGGTCTCTCTGTTCTTGTCCAAAATGAGGACCCTGGCCCAGAGCCCGGCCCTGAGCTCCATGCACAGTGAGGCGGACGCAGCGGCCATCTGCACGCGGGCCACCGAACTGCTGAACCTGCTGAAGATGCCCAGCGTGGCCCAGTTTGTGCTCACGCCCAGCGTGGAGGTGTCCCACCCCCGCTACCACCGTGACAGCAACACGGCGCTGCCCCTGGCCCTGCGCACCGTCAGCCGGTTGGTGGAGAAGGAGGCTGTCTCCTGCCAGGGCGAGGGGGTGGGGACGCCAGTGAGGGGCCTGGTGTGAGGGCCGTGCCAGCTCAGTGATGAGCGAAGGGGAAGCAGGAGCGTCGGGGCGGACCCAGCTCCCTCCGTGCTGGGAGTGCTGACAACTCTCACTCGCAACCTGCTGAGCTGTGTCCTGCGACAGCCCTGGTTTGTGGCCTTCGCCCCTCTGGGCGCTGGACTGGAGTTGCTTGGTCTGGCCTGTTCGCGTTCTGGAGAGAAGCAGAGGTCCATAGTGAAATGAAACCTCCCTTTTAAAGTAGCTGAACATGGCCTGTCTCTTCGCTTTCCTTCCCTCCACCCAGTGGCAGCTCCCATAGCTGCAGCAAGTCCAGGGGCGCCACCCGGTGCTGCCAGGCCCGGAGAGCCAACCCTGGGGACCAACAGCCAGGCACCTGGTGCTGTACCTCCCTTCTCAGTGCCGACGTGCAGGGGCTGAACCCACTCGACCCCTGTGTCCTAGATGTCCCACAAATAACATCATCAACACAGGCAGGCAGGCAGCAGTGTGAGCCCCCAGAGGTGATAACTGCCACTGGGCAGTGCCCGTCAGGGGCCACCTTCTTGTGCTTCTGAAGTCTGGGTTCCCGACTGCCTGGGCTGGAGGTGCTGTCCCTTTGCAGACCTGGAGCTTCCTGCGCTTGGGAGGAGGGCAGGGCTCCCAGCGGCCCAGACCCAGCCTCCTGCAGCCTTCTCTGAACAAACTCCCTTCACTTTGTTACTGGAGACAGCTGGGCGTGGTAGGGCAAGGAAGCCCCAATTCCACCCCGCCCCAGGGTGCCTGGGCAGCTTCCGCTGAGTTGGCTGCCGCTGGGTTTTGACTAAAGCCTGTGGCTGAGTCCAGGCTGCACCCTTGCTCCGCCTGGTGCGGGGATGGGCCTGGGCCAGCAGGTGGTGCTGTTGCCCTGCGAGCCTGGAGCCCAGCCCTCCCGCCTTAGGCCACGCCCCTGCTCGGGCTCCCCCGATCCCCCGCCACGCCCCGAGCCGTGCCAGGTGGTCAGGCTCCGGGCTCTGCCTTGACACCCCTTGCCAGCGCAGCCTTCACCCCATACCCCCCATCCTGCTTGTCCTCTGGCAATTCGTGTTCAGGGTTTGCTTCCAGCCGGTTTGATTTGTGCCCTCATTTCGATTTAGGGGTCTAAGGATTTCTTTTCGTTGGGTTCAATCATACATTTAAAATTACTTTTAAAAATAAATCTCAGCCAGCATTTTGGTAACGTGGCAGTGCACGGCAGGTGGAATCTGGTGCCGGCCCTTGGCCAGGTGCACAAGGATTGGGGCCACGGGTGCGCGCCCGCCTGAGCTCACCAGGGGGCAGCGCGGAGCTGCCAGGGGCCTGGAGCTTGAGGCACACCGAGGACCCCGCAAAACCTTCACACAGAGGGGTCCTTTTGCAGCTGACCCGTCGTCCCCAGGGTCTTTCTGTTAAAGAGAAGGACCCTGCCCAGGCCTGGACACAAGCTGGGTGCACGAGGAGGATATTATGTTCAAGTCCCGCGACCCAGCCCTGCCCCACCCCTCCATCTGTGTGGCCCCACGCAGGTCAGCCACTGTGGAGACGGAAGCAGGCCTCCTGCCAGGGTCAGGGGACCGTGGCCAAGTGGAAGAGGGCAGTGGTCACAGATGAGGGGCCTGGTGTGAGGGGCAGGTGCGGCTTCAGTGATCAGAGATCAGGAGGGCAGTTGGTCAACCTCCTGGGACTGTCTAGCATGTGGTTACCAAGAGCAAATGACAACGGGCTCTCTAACGATGGCCCTAACCCTTTTCCTGGATTGTCCCTGCTCCCTATTTGGGAGGGAGGCAAAAGAGAAGCAGTTGAAACCCACAGCCAGCACAATTATCCCATGTTCTCCCAGGCTCTCCTGCACCCACTGGGAGACCCTGTACAGCCCCACCCTGGCCCAGGCACCACACTCACTAAGATTATGAAAGACAGTTTATTGAATCTAGACTTCTCCAGTAAAGTCTTCAAACATAAAAGCTCTGTAACAAACATCACAACTTAGTGTTATCTGTCCTATAAATAAAATATACACTAAGATGTACATTATGCACAGGTGAGGGATGGACCCACATGGCACAGCCTGGTGGAAGGTGGCAGGCCCTGGGCATGGGTGTCCACCCTAGGGAGGGGGCGTGCGGAAGCGGATTTTCTTGGCTGTTTCCACATCAGACTTGGCGACCAGGAAGCGCATCTTCTTTCCCCCGTGTCGGATCAAATCCACGGCTCTGAAACCCAGGAATGGGAGGAGAATGGGGGACAGGAGTCCTCAGCGAGGATGGGCACAGCCTCCTGAGGTGCCTGGGTGGCCTCAGCTTTGACACAGGCAGGGCCCCAACCCCTCTACCCCCAGTCTGTGGTGGATGGGGCTGTGCGAGGGCCAGGCCATCAATGCCTGCCGGCCTCCCTCCCTCCCTCTAGGAAGGGGCACAGGCCACAGAATCGGGGTGGGAGTCAGCACCCGAGTACCTCATGCCGAGACAGCATGAGGGACAGAGCCAAGAGGTAGAGCCTGAGGGGGTTGGTTTGTCCACAGAAGCCGAATGGAGGGATGTGGGGGGCAGTTCAGGGCCTCCACTTTCTCCTCCCTGAAATGAGTCACTCACAGGAGGCTTGCCCTGCAGGTGCCCTGGCCGTGGGCCGACCCTGACAGCTTCCCCAGCATAGGCCGAGCGGGCGCTGGGAGGGGGCATACCTCAGGTAGCTGACGCCTGTCAGGCTGCTGCCGTTCACCTCCAGGATGCGGTCTCCCAGGGAGAGCCGGCCATCGGCTGCAGCCGGGCTGCCCGGAAGCAGGGTCTGGATGTAGAGCCCCGGGATGCCCAGGGGTGTGTGCTGGGGAGAGGCGGAGGCCTCAGCACCTGGGACATGGTGCTTAGCGAGGACCCCATCCCGAGACCTGGCCTGGCCCCGGCTGGGCTCATGGATATGGTCACCAAGAGATCTGCAATAACAGTGCTGCCCCCCACCACTGTCCCCACAGGCCCAGACACCCCGAGGTCTGAGGATGGAGCTGGAAGCAGCTGCCACACAGGGCCCTTCCCTCAAATTCCACAGAGAAGCCCCCGCCTCTCATCCTAAACCCTCAATAGGCCTCCTCCCCTCCCCGACCCCTCTCTCTTAACCCCACGAGCTGTGGGCCTCCCTGCACAGGAAGGCCAGGGGCAGCTTGCAGACTCACCATCCCATCGATCAGGCCCATCCCCAGCCCAGAGGGACCTCGCTGCAGCTCCACCGTGAAGACAGAGCAGAAGTCCTCAGTGTTGGAGGTGACACTGGAGGGGGCCAGAGGGGGCTCATCCATGGGGGCTGCACAGTCTCCTGGGGGGTGACAGAAGGGGGGAGCCGTCAGGGCTATGCCTTTGTCTTGATTCTGCCCATGAAGCTGGTGTCACACCTGTGCCCGGAGTCAAGCATCCAGGGAGCACCACCGCCTGCTTCTCCAGACGGCAAAATGCTCTGGAAGCTCCAGCAAGATGCCTACCCAGGACCAGAGCTGGGTGTGACACCGCTAAGTGCCTGAGCCCCTGGCCTGTGCTGCCCAGGATGCTGGGCCTCTCAGGGTGGCTGATTCCAGGGGGCTGAGAAGTGGGCTTTGCTCAGGCTTCCTCAACCGCCCCCACACGGCCTGTTCCCTCCCGGCCTGTCCCGGGCCCCTGGCCACCGCACTGAACCTCTGGCCCACCCCTGCTCATGGGTGGCCCCCCACCCTGGCCCCCAATCCGGCATGGAGCCGGCGGGGAGCAGGTGCTCACAGGCCACCTGAGACACCCCCCCCTCCCGCCCCATGCGGCCCATATTCAGAATGTCTCCAGGCTGCCAGGCCCCGGGCGGTTCAGGTGCCCAGCCGAGCCCCCGCCCTCCTTCCCGGTGTCCAGGGCCGCGAGCACTCCCCGCAGGGCTGACAGTCCAGGTCAAACATGTCACCAGGACCCTACGGGAACCCCCCTAAAGGACACCGGCAGGGGCCAGGGCAGGGGGGCCGGCGAGAGCCTGAGGTCTGTCCTCACCTTCTGGAGTGGTGCCCCGGGGGCTGCTCCTCCTGCCTTCTAGCAGGGCGTTCCCAAGGGTGCCGCTCGGTTCTGGCCAGTCAGCGCCACCTGGCTCGAGGTCAAGGGGGGTGCTGGGAGGCGTGAGCATGTATGAGGGGTCCAAGTGCAGGGGGCCAGCCTGGGAACCCCCACGGCACCCGCGGCCAGGCGGCTGTCCTGCGGGACCCTGTGCCCGGGGAGCCCCCAGAAGAGGAAGAGCCCTAGCCGGGGCAGCTTCCCGGGCCTCCAGGGGTCCTTCAGGGATGGAGGGTCGGCCCTGGGGAGGGAGGGGAGAAAGGTCAAGGCCAGTTCTCTGACAGGGCAGAGAACCCAGCCTGCTGCAGCCTCTGCCTGGGGTGCGAGAACCCCAGGGTGACAGGAGCTCTCCCTCCAGCTCCCCCCAGAAGCAGCAGGTGATGCCGTGTCTATGCCCACCCAGGCACCACCCAGGTATAACCACAGCCACAGGCATGGAGCTCGGCTCAGGTACCTCTTGGCACTCAGGCTGGGGCGGCCCGCAGGGGCTGGGCTTGCTCCGCAGGCTCCAGAGGAAGTGGCGGACATACAGGAGGTGCTGGTAGATGCCGTCGTCCAGGCAGTCCGCATCCAGGTCCACCTGGAAGCCCTCGCTCGGCAGCACGATGGGGGGCGGGTTCTCATAGGACTCCAGGACATCCTCTGCGGGCGGGGAAGAGCTGGCATGACTGGCCTGGCCAGGATGGGATCCAGGCCTGGGTGACTGACCCAAACCAGGCTCTGATTCCTTCTGACCCTCAGGATGAGGCCCAAGCATCCTCAGAGAACAAGGTCCTGTGTCTGAAGCTCTTTTTGCCCTCTTCTGCCCACTGCCTACCCACCACACTCAGCTTGAACGTCCGCACCTGAAGCCACACCTGTTCCTCCAGGGGCTCCTGTGGCCCAGGCCCTGTGCGCGCATGTATCACCCAGATCTGCCCACCAGGAACATGAGCACCGCCCAGGGACAGCAGGACAGACCGGCACGTTCTCCGCTCCAGGCACAGAGCCAGCCATGCTGAGGGCCCCAGAAATGGGCAAGTAAATGGGAAGAAGCAGGTGGCATCCCACGGCGGCGGGGGGACAAGAGACAGTGCAGGAAGCTCTACTGCTACCTGGATCTCTGTCATCCTTTAATTTCTGCGGGGTTGGTAGTATAACAGACCATACACTAGTGTAATGCAATGAAGAATGTGTCTGATTCATAAAGTATACACACATGTGTGTACATGCAGCCACATGCATGGACGAGTGTGCGCACATGTATCCATGTGGATGTACAGGATATACGTATGAATGTGTGTGCATGCGCGTTGGGCTTATATCCACATGTGCAGGTGCGTGTGTGTGTTTGCACACATATATCTGCGTGAGAGTGGGCGTGGCATGGTGTGGCGTGTTGTGCTCAGGAACGTTCCCAGTCAGGCTTCAAGATGGCACCCCACTGCAGACATTGCTCTCTTCCTGGTGGGTCCAGCACCAGGTGAGCCCAAGCCTGAGGCTCTGTGGGAGCTGAGGGGGACCTTCAATCTGAGCCTGGACCTTGGAAATTGGGCAGCATGAACTGTGGGCTCTTTGATCCCCAGATATGGAGGCCCCAGATCCCAGGTTGGGGGACAGGGCAGGGCAGGGCCCCCAAGAAGGAAGATGGCCCAGGGCAATACGCCTCCTCCAGGGAAGTCCTGGGGGGAGGGACCTCTGTCCCCACCAAGGTCCACTGGGCCTTTCCTCCTGCCCAAGGAGGGCTCTCACCTGACTTGAAGGCGTCGGGGCTGTCCTGAGCACCCGGCTCCCAGGCACTCATGGGGCCCATGGCCGAGGCCAGCTGGTACTGAGTCAGCAGTCGGTGCAGCTGCGCTGGGCTCAGGGCAGGGAATGTGGCCCGCAGGGTTGCCCAGCTCATCTGGGTGACAAGAAGGAGCTCGCGTCAGAGGTCCCCGCTGGCACCCCAGAAGGATGCCTCTGAGTGCTCTGGGCACAGCAGGGTGTCAGGACTTCCCAGCGACACCCCCAGCATCCACAACACACAGGGAGGTCAGTAAAGGGACTGCCCTGCCCCGGCCACAGGGCCACAGTCTGGCACCCAGGGCAGCGCTGCATGGGGCAACTGCTCCCGGGAGGTGCTCTGTCCTCGGAACCTCCCCATGGCACGGCCCTCTGTGCCAGTGCCTGGGAAGCGGGAAAGACTAACAGGCAAATGGGGGACAGGAAATTGTATTCCTGCCTCAAACCGTGAAGCGGGGTACAGGCACACCTGGCCTCCCTGAGGTGGCACCCGAGGCCAGCCCTCTGAGCTCTGCACGGGGGAGACTTCAGCCCGCGGCTAAGGAAAAGGGTGGACTCGGGCGCAACATGAAAGCTGTGTGTGGGCTCCCCCTGGGGCCTCCGCTCCTCATGCGGGGATCCCCACTCCTTTCCTGTTTTCTGGAAGCCCTTTCCCCAGCTCTCTGGGCTCAGTGCCTCATTCCTGAGAAGCCGAGCCTCCGGGAGCTCCCGGCAGCTGGGTGCGGGCGGCGGGCGCGGGGATGCTGCGTGGTTCCCCGAGAGCGGCTCCCTGGCCAGGCTCCGGCCTGGAGGCAGGCTCGGAATTTGGAAGGCGGCTCCTGTCTGTTTTGCGGGCTCGTCTGTTTTGCGGGCTCGTCTTCAGGATGTCTCGACTCACTCTCCGGAAGACTGTGCTGCCCTCCATGTCCTGGAATTCTCTGCTGCGCCGGGCAAGGCCTTCGGCTGCCGGGCTCACCCACGCTGCATTCCACACCAGAAGCTCAGGCGGTGCCGGTCGGGGGCGCTCGGCTCATCTTCACCGCGTGCGGGTCCTCCCCTCCCTGGACGCCTGCTGTTCGATGGACCTGTACATTTTCCTGTCCTTCTTCCTCTTTCTCTTTCCGTCTGGCTTGATATCATGGCCAGCACCAGGGCTGGGGCTGGGGCTTCAGTGTCCAAACGAAGGACCAAAACTCCTGTCTTAGGGCTCTGAGCGGGGCGGGAGAGGGGGGCGCTGTAGCAGCCCCAGCCCCAGAAGCCAACGCTGATTCAGGAGAGCTGTTGGTTCACCCAGAGGGGTGCTTTTTGTTTTTTCGGATCCTAGAAACCCTATTTCCCTCCCATTTCTATCGCTTTCTGGGCCTGGTGTCGGGAGGGAGCCAGCAGCGGGGCTCTGACCGTGCAGCCCAGGAGGGCCCTGCTCTGCTTTCTGGGATCTTCCTGACTTGATCTTCCCACCCAGCTAGCAGATTTTTCATCTCTGCAGCCAGGCTTTCAATTTCCAAGAATTCTTTTTGTTCTCTTATTTATAGAATCCTGTTATTTAATGGATACTATAGCCTCGCTTATCTTTATGATGAAATAAAGTCTTTTTAAAAGCTTCTTCTTCCTGAACGTCCCTTCCTGCACTTCCCGTTTCAAGGGGGTTGGCAAACTGTGGCTGAGGCCTGCTTGGATCGGCTCCTCGAGCTGAGAATGGTTTTCACATTTTTAAGAGTTTTTTTTTTTTTTAAAGAATTTGGGACAGAGACTATTTGTGGCCTTTTACAAAAAAAGTTTGCTGACCCCTGATCTGCATCCTCCAGCTTCACTCCCCCCATCCCGCTCTCTCGTGAGCTTCTTTTTTTTTTTTTTTAAGAGGCATGTTTTTATTTATTTATTTGTTTGTTTGTTTTTGTTTATACATGCACTGGGTACAGTCAGAAGCGCAGGAGGGTGAGAGAATTCACCAGAGCCAGAGCGGGGAGCAGAGCAGGCAGAAGGACCGAAGTACACTGCTGAGGGGAGCAGCGGGCGGCAGGAGAGGTCTGCGCGCCATGCGGGACCCTCCTCCGGTGGCCGGGGAGCAGCCGGGGATGCAGCCAGGAAGCAGCCGGGAGCAGCTTCGCAGCTTCGCAACCCAGCGCTCAACCGCTGCGCCACCGGGGAGGCCCTCTCGTGAGCTTCTTTAGGGCTGGCTGTTCACTCCTCCACAGCGGAGCTGGAAGTCTGCCGTGCAAAGCTGCTTGGCCCCACAGGGCTACCTGGCTGGTTCCCTGCAGAGCCCCAGTCAGCATCCCCCACACCACCCCACCCCCATCTCTGGCAGCCACCTCAGGGGCCTGGTGTCAGGTTGAGATTCTCCTCCCCTCGGAGACCCTTTGTTTTATATGGGCTCTAAAAATAACCCCAGCTGAGGCAGACAGAGAGGAGGGGTCACGGTGTGGGGTGGGGCTGGGGAGAGGCGGGCTGAGAACCCAGGGCTTCTTCCCTTTTGCACACTTTCAGGGCTGACATATGACAAACACAGAAAACCACACACGCCCCAGTACACAGCCGATCGCGTTCACCAAGTGCCCACATGCCGCCCTGGACAGACCCAAGTGCACACAGCAGCGCCTCAGAACCCCTCGGGTCCCGTGTGTCAGGGCAGCTGGGAGCCTGGGCGGGTCGTAGGGATCTAACACCTGCTCCCTGCACTGAGCTCAGCTTCCTCTGTGGCTGCCTGTGACAGTGGCGGGCTAGTCCCCCCCGCTGTGCCCACGGCCTGGTAATAAGCGGCCACGCTTTATCCAAGACTCCGTGGGTAAAATGGGGGCCATCCCTGCCTGCTGTTGCAAAACACACACTGCTCTTCTCCCTCGAGGTGCCCAGGGCAGAGGCCACCGCCCCCAACCCTCGGTGCTGGCTTCTCTCCTTTCCACCCGCCTCCCCCCCCCCCCCCCCCCCCCCCCCCCCCCCCGCGTCTGGTGCTGAAGACCACATCTCTCCGTGTAACCTTCATTCTTATCATCTCAAGCTAAATCCCAAGCTAAATCTCACATTTTGGTAACAAGGCTGAGCAGGCATTTTAAAACAAGATGAGGTTTGCGCCTATCAGTTTCTGAAAGAATCCGGGTGTTAATGGTATTTCTTCCTGTAACACAATTTCACCATCCGTCCATGTGGACCTTGAATCTTCTTTGTGGGAGGGTTTTTAAATACATTAGATTTCTTCAAAAGACATCGGACTATCCAGATTTTCTAAATACTCTTTTATCGGTTTTAGTAAGTTTAATTGTTTCATCTACATTATCCAAGTTATCAGCATAAAGCTGGCTCTAAGCTCCTCTCCTCTTAGTAGTTTTTGCCCTGAGAGCTGAGGTTACCCCTTCTCACGCTTCACACCGGCAATCTGTATTTTCCCACTCGTACTAAGCTGAGCAAAGACCCACTCCTGGCTCTGCTGCTGTAAATAAACTTGTATCCAGTTGTTCCGATCATTTTTTCAAAGAACCAACCCTTGACATTTTTCTTTCCCTTCCCATCTCTGTTTGTTCACTGTCTCACTGAGTTCTGCTCTTCGCAATGACTTCCTCCCACTTCCTCACTTTTATTTGCAATTCTTTTCCTTGCTTCCCAAACATCATTCCTAGTCTGTTTTATTTTTTAGTTTACTCATTTGCAGCGAGAACGTTTCCTCTTAGCACTACCTTCTGATGCATCTTCACGGTCACTGACCACCTTGACCGGAAGAGGCTGAGGAGAATGGGGAAGGGGTGTTTGGCTGTAAAACTAAGCAGAAAGCTCTGAAAGGCAGAGTAGAGTTGATGGTGGTCTCACAGCGCCTGGGAGACAAAGATCAGAGATCAGGACCCCTGAGGGGGTAGACAGAGGCTCTTGGTGGCAGGATCTCCACCCTTCCTATCCTGAAACTTCAGGGTTTTAGCAAATATCTTGATGGGAACAGCACCACGCATGGCAGGACCCTCATGTACCTCAAGTTTGTCTCTCTAGCCTTTGAAATGGCCAAAGTGGCTCTGGTTTCTCTTTCCCCAGCTCTGGCTGCTAGACGGAGTCTGGATTCTTGGCCTTGCTCCAGTCCTGCTCTCAAGTAATGCAAATGCCGCTGGAAAAGCAGACCAGCTCCATGGTTCTCCCTCTGCAGCTCGCAACCCTGGTCCGGGGTGTCTTTACACAGGTGACTTTCATGCTGTCGCTTTTGCAGCTGGGCTCCCCCAGAGCTATTGCAGCCACATGGGGCCCAAGCATAAGGGCTTTTCAAAGGATTTATCATGTTATTTCTCTGTCTTAACCCCCTCTTGGCCTTAACTTCCTGAAGTACCTGGAGTAGCAAGTCCTGAGCCTTTGGGAGGCTTCACAGAAACTGGGTGATCAGTCTCTTCCGGTCTGCAAGGCAGTCATTATTCACCCCTCTGCTCTTTGGCTTCCAAAATGTTGTTTTATCTCCTCTATAGTTCGTGTATCTTCATGTTATTAAAAAGCATTGCTTTGCTTTTGTTGAGTGATATTTTAGGAAAAAGCAAACTAAATTCATGTGCTTAATCTGCTATCCATACAGAAACCTCCCCCTTTTCTGAATTTTCTCTAGTGAATCCATGTTTCACTTTTATAATAAAAATAACTTTTTTTTAAAAGGCACATGAGTGAGACATAAGATTCCCGATGTATGACAGATTCTTACTGTCTTGGGAGGGGGCAGCTGTTAAGCAGAGCAGCTCTCATGTTCTCCGAGGCCTAGAAGCCAGGTCCACAGCTCGGGCCTGGCTTATAAGCAGGGGACCCAAGATCAACCACATGTAGGCCCCGCCCCCCTAGGCCCTCCTACCTGGACGAGCTGGGCACTAGGAGTGGCCAGCAGGTTGAGTGTACAGGAAAGTTTCTGGAAGAAGCACTCTGCAGCCTCCCCACAGCCAGCACTCCTTGTCCACTCGAGGAGCTGCTGCAGGCGGGCACAGGCCTGGACTCCTCTTGGCCAATGGAAGCAACTCAGAGAGGGGCCTGGCGGGAGAGAGGGGGAGCGGAGTGTGATGTTCAGGAAGCTCTTTGTCACCCAGGTGTGCTGCCCATCCCCCCCCCAGAGGGAGCCAGATCCCGGCTGTACCCAAGGCCGGCCCTCCCCCACTACTGGGTGCCTACCTGGGTGAGGTGGGGGGCACAAGAGGTGGAAGGTGGAGGTGGCAGGACAAGCGGCTGCGACAGTCACTGAACCCCAAGTGCAAAAGTACTGTTCCAGGTCTACAGTGACACCCCCTTGTTCCCACCCCTCCCTGTGAACCCCACCCCAGCCTGGGAAATCCATGAGTGAGATGTATGTGCTACGGGGCTGTCCCACTCTGATCTTACAGTCCTGAACCCCAGTAACACCCCTGGGCACCTGGGCAGATGGAAAAATTTGGCAGCGAAGAGGGCGGGCAACAGGATTGAAGGTCAGGTCGCTTTCCTAAGCCTGTTCCAACCACGGTACCAGTGCACTGTGGGCTGTGGCTGGATACAGCTCATCTCCATGATGTTCCCACAGGGACACCTCCTGGGCAGCTCTTCCTACCCGCCCCCCATGTGTTTGGACCCTCTTTGACCAGATGCCCTGCCAGGGCAGGAGCTGGCCATTTTCTGCAGAAGGGATTCTCAGCCCCAGGCCCTCACCTTTGTCCAGAAGCTGGTTGAAGAGCAGAGTGCTGGAGAAGAAGAAGAGGTAGGCCAGCACCTGGGAGGCGATCTCGGGGTGCACCTGGAACTGTTGCAAGAGGTCCAGAGCGACCTGGTAGACTGACACAACGCGGCGCAGCTCCTCAGGCAGCTGGAGGGATGAGCACCAGCTCCCCCGGAGCTCCATCTGGAAAGGGGGGCACTCCAGCAGGGCCGGGAGGCAGACGTACAGGGACTGTGGTAAGAGGAGACACTGGCCGTTGGCAGGCAGCCTCTTCAGCCGGACCACCCACGTGCCTGTCCACCGGGCCGCAGCCATTCCACATGAGCAGTGAGTCCTGGGGGCGGGGGCAGCTAAAGGTTGCTGCGGTGCACAGTGCACAGTGCAAGGCTCAGTGATGCTCCCCCCTTAAACGGCAGATAATACTGGGTGGGGGAGGAGAGAGGCTCCAGCAAAGTCTGAAAACACCCCAGTGGGTCTTGAAGGAGAAGGTTCATCCCTCTTGTTTTATCAGGAGAGCTTTACTGGACAGGGAGGGTGGTGGGAGGCTCCACCACCCAGAGTGAGCCTTTAAGCAGAGCTTAGCAGGCACAGCAACCTAAGGGCAGCGGCACCAATCTGGTGCCAAAGTCCCTAAAGGGTCTTTGCTGGTGGCAGAACAGCCATACCCAGAATCTTCTCAGGGTTCACAGGCATCAACAGTTGCTTTCTGGAAACAAGCAGAGGTGTCACCTCCAAGAGGAGTCCTGTGGCCACTGCACCTCGAGGTGACCCTAAGATGTCAGGTCAAGGGCAGTGTGTGCCTCCTTTGGGACCCCAGGGAATATGTGAGCACATGGGTGGTGCCAAGATCCTTTTTCAGCCAAGATCCAACCTCAGAATGGCTCTCCACACAGGACTCCAAGCAGCCAGGCTTAACTACCCACAGAGCTGCTGTCTCTAACCGACTGAACTCCGTGCAAAGCAAACAGGGAATCATTTTCTTTTTCTCCAATCATGGCCCCAAAAGTACCACCCCCAACCCTCTTCTTTCCCGATGGAGAGCAGCCCCAGAACAGCCCAGGGATTTCACAACCCCCGCAACATCCATGTGAGTTCACACCTAGTCTCAGCAAGTTCCCCAGCTCCTCGGGTGGGGTCTAGGCCTCGGGGCCCACCTCCCCTCCACCCTCCCTCCTGCCCCCCGCGCTGGGGGGAGTGTCTCTCCCCCTACCTGGCTGTTCTAACACCTTCTCTGGTCATCACAGTGGCCTCGGGGGCCTGTCCCTCAGGGCCACCTCTCCCCTCACCCCCACTTCCCGGAAATGGGTCACTGGTATGACTCTTCCCTGCTGACGAGAGAGTGAGGCTCAGGCGCTTCCTGGGAGCACCCGAGCACAGCCATACCACAGGCTGGAGGGGGTCCCAGCTCCTCTCACTCACTCGCACCCTGCCCGCCTCTATTCCAGGCCTGACCGCTGCTAAGTTCTGAGTCCTAAGACTCGATTTCCCCAAGGACTCCCGAAGGGAGCCGTAAGCACACACCTGACCCGCCGCCGTACCTTGGAGACGTAGTACACGCACTGCTGAAAGGCATACAGGATGACCTCCTCCAGCACCGCCATGGCCTCCTCGCTGGCCGTGAGGGTGCAGGAGAACAGGGACTCCTTCGAGCCTGCAGGAAACAGCAACGCAGCCAGTGACTGTGGGGCAGACCAGGCCTGGGCGTACAGGCATGAACCTTCCGGGCCAGCCGAGAGCTCAAACACCCCCAGCCTCAGTGCCACTGTGCAACTCTCCCATCTTGCATTTGGAAAATGTGATCATCCAAAGTCACAGAGCAGCCTGGGCACCCGCAGCCTGCCCACCACACCTCAGCCAGGGGTCCCAAGATGCTGGATGAAGTGCCCAGGGCAGGGAGCTTCCAGGCATTTCCAAGCACATGGGCTCTGGATATATGTTCTCAGAACCAGCTGCCCCAGACACAGCACATTCGGAGTCAGCTGCCCCAGCACTTCTCACTCAGGACCCAGGCCAAGGAGCCAGTCATTTGTGGCATCATGGCGTGTCTCCAAGAAGAGAGAAGCCAAATCACCTTTGCCCCATTCTCCTCCCAGCACTGTGTCAGCACGGGGCAGAAACCCAGCCTCCCAACAGCTGCATGGAGGAAGCCCTGCTCTGTGCGGGGGGCACTGGGAACAACATGCCTGGTGTGTGGCCTCCCCAGACTGGGGGTGGGGGTGCATCTGCTGAGGGGTGGGAAGGAGGGAGAGATGTCAGTGGACCCCAGGGGATTCCTTCCCTCTGGGAGTGTTTGCTGTAAAGACGACAGGCCAAACCAGCAACAGGGTTCCCAAGGCCAGAGGCCCCCAAAGGGGCACAACCATTGCCGGTGGGCATTCCAGAAAATGGGTGCATCTGCTGTCACAGTGATTGGGGGGGTCTAACCAGCACTTAGGGAAAGGGAAGGCACACAGGACACCCCGCCTTTGTCCTTTCCTCTCACAAATCCTCATTTCTCCATCACAAGGAGCTGGAGGCAGCTGGCCACGGCATGATGTGTCTAGCGTAGTCAGACATGGCCTTGGCCTGAGCTAAGTCTCAGACCCTCCCGCTGCAGTCTCTTGAAGGAGCCACTTGGGCCACACTGCTCAGGAATCTCCTTTCAGGGCTGGAGGGTGGCACGGGATGGGCTGAGACTTTCTGAGCACTAAGACGGCCCCGCAGGAGCACAGGGGCCCAGCGTGGCCGGCCTCCAGACAACCGGCAGGACGCACACCACATGTGAGCATCTGGGCACACTGTGCACCGCACCTCCATCTTGCTGCTCATCATGTGTCTCCTTCAAGGGCTCGGGGCTCTCCTGTCTCTCAGCCCAGAGCCTCCCAAGGGTTCACTCCCCAAGAACCCACCTACCCTGGGAGCCGGAGGCCTGCCCAACCTCCCTGGTATCCTCCCCAGGTCCATGGGTCTCATTTGGGTTGGGTGGGGGCCTGGCTGCTCCTTGCAGCCTCACTTTTGGGGGGAGGCAAGTCAGGCACCTGAGGGGCCCTGGGTCTGAGGGGAAGGAGGTGTCTAACAGGTTGCTGGGTGTGGGCTGGCTGTTCCCTTGCCAGCTGCAATACCCCTTTCTTCTGGAAGGCTCCAGGTCTACAGAGAAATCAAGGCTGGCCTCACAACCAAGGGAAGCCGGTGGGAAAGGGACAAGAAACTGGCTCCAAAGCCTTCAGTGGGCCAGGGCCAGGGGCAAGGCCCAGGCCTTCAGGCTGTCCATGTGCCGGCTTGTCTGAGCAAGCAGACCTGCACCCTCCTGTGTGTGTGTGTGTGTGTGTGGTGGGCGGGGGAGGAAGGGAGGTCGCAGGGATTCCACAAAGCAAAACCACACCAGGCTCCCTGCATATGCCACATGGGTCTCCAAGATACCATTTCAAAGCCACGTGGAATACTTTCACTGGCTGTCGAGCTCTACTGGGGCGCCCACTCAGGCCTCCCAGAGGGTTACAGGAGTGCAGCCACCCCTCCCGCATGCTCTGGGGCCTGAGGGGCTCGGGGCTGCCCCTGTGGCACCTGAGCACCCCTCCAGGCTGCCCCTGTGGCACCTTAGCACCCCTCCCTCAAATCTACAGGCACAGTGCAGAGCTGCCAAGACTCACAGGACAATCGTAAATGGGTTACCCCCACACACGCACCCACCACCGCCATGGGCCGAACGTCTGTCTGCCCGTGTGAATCAGGCCTCCTGGGTAAGAGCTTTGGATAAAAAAGATTGTTTGGGGAATGAAAATGGCAATTTTTCCAGCTTTCAGGACATGACATCTCTGCTTTTAGAATTCTTCCCACAGATATTTCCTGCTGAAGGTCAGGAGGCCGGAACACTGAAGTGACCTTGCCTTTGCCCTCTGCTTGATATTTTCCCTCCACGTCTCCAGTACTTGGGACATTATTTAGGACATTCAGATCGTGTGGCGTCCTGTCTGCATGGTCCCCGGCTGTGAGTGTGCTCTCGCTGCACCAGCACTGAGCAGTCAAACCACAAATGGGCCCCAGACCAAAACTAACTTCCTCCCAAGACCAGACAGCAGCTCCACTCACCCCCAGCCCCAACCCAAGCAGCCTGACCAGGTGCCCTCCCAGCCACAGCCAGCAGGCCAGGAGGCCGTGGGCCCAGGACTGCAGCCTCCCCCCATAGTAGTCTGAACAAGGTCAGAGCAGGAGGCCTCTGCAGGCCTCGGAAACGCTGTGTCCAGCGGCCATGCGGGGTCAGTCTCTAGCTGACTGCTGTCCTCTAAGCAGAAAAGTTTCCCACCATCACCCAACTCCTGACATCTCGCTCAGAAAGAAGACACGTGTTTGAGACAGGCAGAGACAGGAGCAGCTCCTCAACTCAGGACCTGCTGAGCTGGCTGCCAGGTCGGCCCCCAGCCTTGGGGAGCAAGTGGAGTTTGAGGCCTGGCAGGGAGGGAGAGTGGAGCCTTAGGTGCTGGACTCCAGGAGCTCCAGGCACAAGGCCCTGAGCTGCAGGAGCAAGGGGCCTTGGAGACTGACTCTGGAGCCAAAGTCTGTGCACATTCAGGGGAGACAGGGAACGGGACTGCCTCAGATCCGGCATCGGGGACAGTGAGTGGTGTTCCAACCTGGAAAATACAACCAATGCCTTTCACAAAGTCCACCCAGAGAACAAAGGATGGAGGGGACAGGCCAGCAGGCCCAGAATGCCCACTGGGCCACAGCAGATCCCAGCACCTCAGGCTGACTGCCCGCCTCCAGGGAGGTGAGACACTGGGCAGCCTCTGCAGACCTGGCACACAGGGGAGCCTCGGCTGCACCCTGTCCTGCCTGCCCAGCTCCCCTCCAGCTCTGAGTGGGACTCCCAGTGCCATCCGGACTTCCACTGGCAGGACGGCCAAGTCATGTTGCTCAGGATCCCCGATGGCTTCGGGGGCAGGCTGGGACGAAGCCGAAGTCCCACAGAAAGGAAGGAAATGAGTGGTTTTGTATCTGCCACATGGCAAGATTTTGAGGGGCCTGAACCAAGCTCACCCACCCAGCTTCGAGTACCCAGCTGTGACATCCTGACCCACCACAGGAGGGTTCTGCTGCTCCTACCTGGCTCAGTCCAGGACCGACCAGGCCTCTCCTACCCCGCGCAGCCCTCAGCAGAAACACACCAGCTAAAATCCCAGTGGGGCCTCAGGACCAGGAAAATGCCACTTTCTCCACAAAGTCCTCCCTCCCAGACTGCTCCAGTCAGAACCACTCTCTCCCGTAGAGTTTTCTGTGCACTGTGCACTGTATTTCATAATTCTAAGATGCTCATGGACACTGAAGTCACATGGATTGTACATATATGTTTAAATTTTTCCAGCTCTCAGCAACAGATCTCTGTGAAATAGTGGAGCATCTTGAGAGGGATGCTGGCCGACACACCCCTCTGTCTACTGTCCTCACATCCAGGCCTCCATCAAAACTTCACATCCCTGTTCCAGTGACCTCTCCCCAAGATGGCAAGGAGGCCCCCGCTCATGGGCACCAGCCATACCTGTGACGTCCAGCTCCTCTTCCAGGCTCTGCATGTAGAGTGGGCACTTCTGCTGGATGAAGTACAGCAGCTCCACAGAGTTGGACATCCAGAAGAGAATGTGCTGCAGGTCGGGCACCAGGCCAGCCATGTTGACGCTGGCCAGGGAGATGGGCTCCTGGCTACCAAGACAGAAAGACCAAGTGACATCCGGACCACTGCCCCGCTCATCTCCACGGCACACTGTCCAACCACACCCCTCCAGCCTACCGCCTCAGGCTGGGACATTAAATACAGGAACAGACCTGCCCCTGACACCTGCCAGCCTGCCAGCCAGGAGCGCATCTCCTGCAAAGCTCATTGGGAAGCTGCCACAGCCATCAGTGAGAGACTCAGGGAAATCAACTCTCTTCTTTGTGGAGATCAGAGTAAAGCAGCTATGAATGTTAAAGATAGAGTGTACCCTAATATGTATGCATGCATGGGAGGGAGAATACCTTGGTTGTTGGAACAAGAAACATGAATTTAATGTCTGTTTCAAAAGAACAGGAGATATGAGTTTCAGTGGATTCAGACATAATTAACAGAGGAACTAAACACCAACATAACTATTTGGGAGGAGCCCAGGCAAGATTAACTAAATGCTACCTCCTACAGCAGGAGGTCAGGAGATGATGTCTAAAGTCCATGAATCAAAGGATGGCCACCAAGGCCTTTTCTTTGAAGATTTAGAGGTAGTTCTAAGAAATGTCAAAAATAGAGCAATTGGAGGTTGCCTCTGAGGTCTGTATGGAGTCAGGGTTGGAAGATGGGTCAGTTTCCATCACAAATTCTGCACTGTTTGATTCATTCACCAAGGCAGTGTATGTGTCTCCTGGTTAGTGAGAAAGAGCCACCAGGGACCAGGCACAGAACTGGGTCCTTCCCCTCATCACACCCCTGAGGGTCGGCCCCCCCAGGTGGCGGTGGCCCGGTGCTGCTCCTCCCTCCCAGGCCAGCTCTCTTTCTAGGCACAATGGCGAAGTCAGGGTCCCCTGCTCCCTGAATGGCAGGCTCCAAGGTCAGACAGGCCTCCACTGAGAGGGGATCTCCCTGACCCCCTTCTCCTGTGCCTTTCATGCAGCGGTTCCTGGGGTCCAGGATCAAGTGTCTGAGTCACCGATGTACATGAAGCTCCCTGGTACTGTCCCACATCACCTCTTGAGAAGTTGTGGTGGATATGGTAGGACTGGCCAAGCTGCAGAAAATTCCTCCATTTAAAACACCATCATGCTTTTCTGGCCACCGCCACCCACTGGCAGTCAGCGCTGGAGCAGGCTGTGCTGGAGACAACCATGCTGAGAGTGTTTGGGCCCTGGGGCTCCAGCACCCCAGGTGCTGTCTTCAGAGTGGACACTTACGGCTGGTAAGCAGAGATCCGTTGTGAAGCAAATCAAACCACCCAGATGTGACTTGGGTATGCCTGGGGGTGCCATCCAGCCAGCTGTGGCCAGTACACAGTCCCAGGGAGCCCTCACTGCTTGTGCTTCTTACTGGGGGTTTCTTTTTTTTTTTTAAGATTTATTTATGCATACAAGAACTGGAGTACAGGCCAGAGGTGTGGGGGAGTGAAAGGATTCACTAGAGACAGAGCAGAGAACAGAACAGGCAGGCTGACTGAAATACACCACTGAGGGGAGCAGTGGGTGAGACAGGAGAGGTCTGCTGTGCCATGTGGGTAGCTCCATGGCCGGCCAGGGATCAAACTCATGCCGCAGTGGCTGCTGATAGCTTCACAGTGCTGAGACTTAACCCCTTGTACCACCAGGGAGGCCCCCTTGCAGGGGTTTCTGAGAGGCAGGCCAGGTGATTGCAAGGGCAGCACTCCCAGGCCAGCAAGAGCAGACTCTTTAATCCCTTCCAGCAGCTCAGGAAGCTGGTGTCAGTGACCTCACAGTGACATCATGCCAGGGCTCCTGGGGGGATCAGGCCCACTGGGGCCGTACAGGTGGGAGGCTTGTGAGGAAGCAACTGGGAGGGCTGAGGTCCCGCAGGCTCTCTTTCTCTTTTGGGACCTGTAGTTGTGTTGTTCTCAGTGATGTGACTTCACTTTTGCACACAGTGTGATCCCACTCTCTGCTCCTGGGGAGCAAAGGACTGTCGGGCCCTGCCTCCTTGTTTTATTGCGAAGCAGATCTGTAGCCCACCCACTCGTGTCACAGGGCTCAAAGTCCTGTTCTCCACACTGGCTTGAATTACACAGATATATGCACACAGCATAAATAGTTTATGTCATTAAAAAAGGATTAATCTGGCTCTTCGGAACTTAATTCTATTTTGTTTTCAACATGTATTGCCCTTCTCATTTCAGCCAGAACTCAAAGGGACAGAGACTTTTCCTGAAAAATAAACTGCCAGCTGGAGTTTCGGTGTCAAATCCAGTGAGGTCAGCAGCAAGTACAGACAGCTGCCAGCCCCCACCACACAGCGGGCCACAGACAAGATGCGGGGCCTGTCCCTCCCCCAGGCAAGCAGTGAGTGGGATGACAGTTTCATGGATCTGACACCAAAGGCACAAGCAAAAATAGACAAATGGGACAACCTCAAACGACAAAGTTTACACAGCAAGGAAACCATCAGTTGAGTGAAGAGGCAACTGACAGAACAGGAGGAAATATTTGCAAACCATTCATCAGATAAGGGATTAGTTCCAAAATATGTAAGGAACTCCTACAGCTCAAAAGCAAAAAACTAATAACCTAATTTTAAAAGAAGTTGAGGACCTGAAGACAGTTTTCCAAAGAAGACATACAAACGTCCGATACACATGAAAAGGTGTTCAACATCACTAGTCATCAGGGAGATGCAAACCCAAACCACGGTGAGTATCTTTCATGCCCTCAGGATGGCTATTATTAAAAAGATGAAAGTTAACAGGTGCTAGCAGGGATAGGGAAAAACTGGAACCCCAAATTGCACTACTGGGAATGCAAAATGGTACAGTCACTGTGGAAAACAGTACAGAGGGGCCTAAAAAATAAAAAGTAGAACTACCACATGATTTAGCCACTCCACTTCTGGGTATTTATCCTACAGAATTGAAAGCAGGATCACCAGGAGATGGCTGCACCCCCATATTCACCACAGCACTACTCACAATAGCCAGGAGAGGAAACAAACTAAATGCCCATCAACAGGTGAATGGTAAGAGATGAGTATTATTCAGCTTTTAAAAAGGAGCTTCTGCAGTATGCAGACGTTATGCTAAGTGAAATAGGCCAGTCTCACGGGACGTACGGTCCCGCTTATATGAGACCCTAACATAGTCACACTCAAGGAATCAGAGGTTGCCGTGGACTGGGGGGAGGGGATTGGGGAATTGTTAATCACTGAGCATAACATTTTAATTGTGCAAGATGAACAACTTCTAGAGATCTACTGTGTGATGTGCCTGCAGTTACACCACACTGTACACTTAACCCAAGGGTGGATCTCACGTTAAATGTTCTTACCACAGTAAAATACAGTAAAATAAAAGTAACTCAAATCAGTGAAGCCCTGATACAAAGTTCCTTTTATAAAAGTCCATTAAGGAAGCAATAGTACTGAAAACAAAATTAACGTGTTTTTAAAGCTAATGAAAATGAAAAGCAATTAAAAATATTTTCAGAATTCATGAATCAAAGAAGAAATTAAAATAGAAATTTTGCATGAATAAGGAAGTAGTAAAGAGGTAAGTGGAATAAAAATCAAAGAAAAAGTAAAAAGGAATAGTAAATCTTCTAAACAAGTAATAACCAACAAATCCCTGGGAAGGTTAGTCCACAGAGGGTGAAAGAGAAAAGAGAGAAGCACAACAGCAATTGAACAGGGGGTGTTACTGCAAATATCTTAGAGATGAAAAAAGCCGTAAGAGACTATAACAAATAACTTTAGTCCAGTAACTTTGCAACTATATGTAATCAATAATTTCCTAGAAGGCAAAAAGCACCAAAATCAACACAAGAGGAAACAGAAAGCTAAATAAACCAAAGATCATTCAAGAAATGGAAGCAGCCAAGGTCCCTGTCCCCACTTGCACTGGCCCAGGGGTTCCCACAGGTTACTGAGTGAGTCTCTGAGGTCCAGAGTCCAAGTGATTCAGAGAATGAACACGGACCAGGCTGCTCAGGTCCTTTTCTGTGAACCTTGTCATTTGAATCAGACAAAACAATTGATACCAAAAATATTAACACACAGCCAATTTTACTTAAGAATTCAGAGGGGGGCTTCCCTTTTGGCCTAGGGGTTAAGCCTCAGCACTATCACCACTACAGCCTGAGTTCAATCCCCGGCCGGGGAGCTGACCCACATGGCGCAGCAGACCTCACGTGTCTCCCCACCGTTCCCCTCAGCAGTGTACTTCAGTCAGTCTGCCTGTTCCGCTCCCAACCCTGACTCTGATGAATCCTCTCACCCCCCACATCTCTGGACTACACCCCAGTTCTTCTACTAAAAAAAAAAAGATTATTTAAAAAAAAAAAGAATTTGGATGGGAAAATCCTAATTAAAATGTCAACAAGCATGCCTTACCATGCTTTAAAAAAAAAAAAAACCACTAGCCACGGACGGCTTCATTTCAGGAATTCAATCATGGTCCAAAAGACCTACTAACATAGTACCCACATCCACAGATTCACAGAAAAAGAAATACATAATGATCACTGCTGCAGAAAAAGCATTTAGTCAAACTCATCGGCCACTGGAAATTTTAAAAGAGCCACAGAGCAGGAAGATCTGAAGTAAATGGGACAAAGTGTTAATGAAGTTAAATTCAGGTGTGCGTTCACGGGTGATTGATAGATTTTGTAATTTTCTGTATATTGGAAGTGATTCATACATTAAAACAAAAGTGCTTTCCCTGGGGAAGGGCATGCGGCTATTCTTAGGCCCCAACAATGCAAGTTCTGGAAAGCAGAACGCGCTTATAACTATTGAAGGGGGCCTGGGCTCTTCCTGTCACCGTGGGCTTGGGCTTCAAGGGGGCAGAGAGGCTGTCTGCACCTCACACTGAAGGAGCCAGGCTGGGCCTTCCTCATCAGCACAGTTCTCAGGTCTCTCTTGGCTTCCTGGAAGGAGCTGGGAGTCAGGGGCAGACGGCTGGGAGAGAGGGAACTCTACGGCCCACTTGCAGCCTGGTAGGACAATCGGAGATGCCCAGCCCCATGCTCCAGACCCAGGCTCCTGTCCTCTGGGCCTCTAGTTCCAGTCTTTAAAGCAGAAGAATAACAAAGCTTCCTCCTGTTTCCCTTACAGGGCAGTAGGGGAAGCAGCTATGATGACACACTTGATTGATGCGCGTCTGCATGAGGCGTGAACTGGAATGAAGGAGCCACTATGGGCCATGTGTGACTTAAGGCCGGGTGCCTCCCTGGCGCTGGGCAGTGACCACCGCCTTCAACTTGGAGCATCGCCACCTTTGGTGTGTACTTACACAGGATGGCTTAGCTGCATGCACTTGTCTCCTCCACTTCGCTGCCATTATGCCCTGATAAACCACCCCGCACACACACTGAAAACACCCTAAGTCAAATATGCAGTTAATACACCTAAGCTACGAATGCCACAATGGAGTCTTCTAGGAAGAGTGTATCATTTTCAAGCCACTGTGAGTCAAAGCATCCTAAGTGGAACCCCGTGAGCCGGGGCTGTCCATGCAGCTCATCAGATGGCTTTTCCGAGCACTCTTTTGGCTCAGTATTGCTTTGGATTCGGTGACATTGATGAACAGGTGGCTCATTCCCTGCCACTGGACACATGCGGTGGCCTCCAGCTTTTGCGTCGGGGGAGGTATTTCCCCACAGTGTCCACCCAAGTGGGAGGCGGTCACAGGATATGCGAGTCTTCACGGTTAAAGCCAGGGCTTCCAGGGCCCCTGCAGCAGCGCATTAAGAGTGGAAATGGTGCTGTCTATAAAACAGATGGCAGGGAGCAGGAATACCACACCCCCTCCACCAGGACCTGAATGTCTTCCTGAAGAAGTAGGAGCAGTTTCACAGGATTTGGGGGTGAGGGGACAAAAGGAGGAGGCTGTGGAGGAGCTCTCACCCTCACTCTCAAGGATGTTCTGGAGAGGTCGCCCCAACACCGAGCTTCCCAGAAAATTGACTACAGAAGAGGAAAAGGCCGCTCTGCGAGGAGAGGACAATTTGGTGGAACCCAGAGCTGCCCCGTCCCGGCCCCACGGGAAGGTCTAGAGGGAGCCACCGCCTAAGGGGCGGGTACAGTGACACATACTTACAGGTGCGCCTGCTTCTCCGCCAGTTCTTTGGTTTTCTCCTACAATCAGAAAGGGGGGGAGGGGGCAAACATGAGAAAAACAGGATACCACCAGGTATGTTCAGTGAGAACAGTGTCAAGTTCATGTCACACCATCCCCATAAAAACAAGGCCTGTGGCTGCTGACATCCTGTGCTCTCGGCTGTTTACTCTAAGCCGTGTTGGAAAGAACAGCTCTCCATGCGCTACAGCTATCTTCCCGCGCCATACTAAGGGTGAGCCACATACTTCCGACAACAGGGCTATTTCACAACCGTCTAGCTTACATAACAACCAACCATTTGAGATCCACTAGGGCAGGTCAAACATCTTACAAACGCCAGCACGAAGATTCCACTAGCACGCATTGTTATGCTTGACACCCACACGTTCAAAGGCCCCGGTGATAATGATGAGTTGAATATGTGCTTGAATATTTACAAATATATTTAAATGTCACAACAGAGAAGACGCAGGGTTAGCCAACATTTCCTGTCACTTTTAATCAAGAGGTGATTCCTGCTTTAGTAGCAAGGTGTTTTCTGGCTAAGCGCAGCCCTGACAGTGGCTCTGTTACTTGTTCTGAGATGCGCACAATTACCTAAACATTTGATGAGAAGTCCGAGGACAGGGGAGTGGAGAGAAAGCCCAGGATCACTTATGGGGGCTCTAGAGGGTCTGGCTGGGGGTTGTCAGTCCACCAAGAGGGAAGCACAGACTTGACCTTGGGGAAGGAAGTCAATGCTACGAGCATCAGTTTCCATGCCTGAGAATAGGGGACAAAGCTAATCCCGGGGGGCTTTGTGGGAAAGCTGCTCTGGCTGGAACCTGTTTCTCCACCTCCTACCCGACCCCCTCTACCACCATGCCCCTCAGTCCCTCTTTCCTCAGTTTCCTCAACTGTGATATGGGACATAATACCAACATCATGAGGGAGGTTGTGAGAATTAAATCAAACTGTGTGATTCACTGGTGTCTGGCACAGAGCCGACTTGGAAAAGGATGATTCCTGTGGAAAATCATGACCTCCAGCATCAGGTGGCCACTGGCCCGTGTCATCAGCGCGGACCTCACCTGCCTCACACATGCACAGACAGGAAGTGAGCACACTGGTGATGACACTAACATCCAAGTCCGCTCAGGGCCCATGCAAACCTTTACATGTGGCAGCCCATGGTGGCTTTTGCCTTTAAACTTTCAAACATTTTAAATGGCGATTGTGACTGATGCATCTATCCAGTTTCTACACAGCCAACAGGTTTCCTTTTCCCATGTCTGCCCCCTGGGAGGCATGACCAAGATGAATGGGGGTCTCTGAGGACTGGGTGACACCAGCCATCCCAGGGGCCCCTAGGGAGTGCAGTCAGTGGAGAGACAGGAAGGGACGGAGGCCCTGAGCACTGGCCCCGGGCAGCCTGCCTGGTGCTTGTCCAGGTCCTGGCCCTGGCCCTGCGAGACAGGCGGTCTGTACATGTCTGCCCTGTCCCAGGGGACAGCAGCCAGTGCCTGGAGCCATTTCTGTGAGGGGAAGGAGGGGAGCTTCTAGCATGGAGGCTGGGGTGCTGGTCAACACTCTTCCTTGCACAGGTCAGCCCCACAGCAGGGAATTTCACCCAATTGTTCATGGTGCCTCTGCCTGGAGACCCTGTCCTTGAGGAAAGTTCTCAATGCACAAATGTCACCCATCTGTGCCCCCACTACCAAGCTGACAAGGGCAGAGGTGCCCAGGGCAGACAGGGCCCAGGCTCTCCTTACTGGGCACATGACCCCATGAGGCTGAAGAGTGTCAGCGGGTGCCATGGACTCCCTGTGGTCCTGCTTCTCCTGTCTGCCCAACAGGCAGGGCAACAAGAGACAGGCAGGGGCAGCTGGCCCTCCGCTAGAGGAGGTGCCCAAGCATCCCCCACCAGTCAGAGCTCCCACCCAGCTCCTCCCACAGCCCACGGACAGACACAGGACAGCACAATGCCCCTGCCCACGACTAACCCAGACTCTCTCCCGGATCGCCTTGGCAATCTTGAGCAGGAGCTGCCCGAAGGAGCCTGGCTCGAGGCGGGTAGCTGAGTGCTGGATGCAGAGGCAGAGGAGGAAGGCAGGGGTCAGCTTGTGGTCATCGCCACTCGGCTCAATCAGCGTCATGATCCGCTGCAGCAGCACATCCTCCATGTCAGGCTCAAACTCCAGGTGCAGCTGCCGAGACCGCGGGAGGGCGGCCCTCGTGGAGGCAGAGGTGCCCCGGGCCCGCAGCACAGCCCCACACATCCTGCAGCTCTGCGGCACGGCCCGAAGGCGGGCCAAAGCCTGTGCAGGCAGGGAGGGGGCCTGTGCCGGGTCCTTGAACAGCAGCAGGTAGTAGAGGCCCAGGGACAGCAAGTCCCCATGATGCAGCGCCACGGCCCGTCCCCCCACCTCTGAGAAGTTAACAGAGACAGGTGCCCCAGGGATGGGCTCCAGGACCAGCCAGCCCCCTGAGTCTCTGCCTGCGGGCTGGCGCCTGCGGATGGTACAATGGAGGGGCAGGATGTCAGGGGCCGACAGGCTGATGCTGGGCTTGCTGGATGGGGTCCTCTGGCCCACTGTGTGCCGCTCCCGGTTGAGCACGTACACCAGGCTGTCCTGAAACAAAAACACGGATCTCAGGGCCAGGACGCCACCTCAAGCAACTCGATCCCCGGGAAGAGAGACAATGAGTCCTGGAGCCTGGTTACCCAGGCCCTGTCGTCCTAGGGCACCCACCCAGAGCCCTCTGTAACCTGCTGCATGCCCCCAGTCTGCCCAGAGTTGGGCATCCATCCTGTCTCTGGGGGAGCAGGAGACCCCCTGAGCAGCCTGGGTGTCCCCTCAGACACCGAAGGTTGACTCTGGAATGCACACATGAGAAACCAGACAAGGACTGCCCAGGGAGCAGACACTGGTTTATAGGCAAGGGTCAAGCACCCCAAATTCCACCCAGGTGACAGGTACGTGGACACACCCTCCCTAACGAGGGTGGGAAGGGCCTCCTGAGACCTGGGACCAGAGTCCTCACATCACAGTGTGCCAGACAGAGTGGGCAGGGCTCAGCGGGACACTGCGCGGGCAGCGGCACGTGAGGAGGGAGGAGCAGGCTTCTGCAGAACAGGCTCTCATGGAGTTCCTAAGGACTAGACTCTAAAAGCTGAGACACTTCCAACAAAAGTGGGAGTAAAGGTTGGCTCTTGGGGGAGTGCAGGGGGCCTCTTTCCTGTGCCCCTCAGAGAGGCGGTCCTGTAGTGCGCTGTGGGTAAGCTGTGCAGGACCTTCACTGAGCACCCTCCACATGTGGGCAAGAGAGCCAGCCTGTGCTCTGGTGCCCAGCCGAGCCCCTCCCCGCAACCCAGAGAGCCTGGAGGGTGGTGGATGCTCCGCTGTTGAGGGGCCTGGTACCCAACGAAGACCAATGCTGAGGTCAGGACAAGAGGAGGCCCTGGGGACATTGTCCTACCCTGAGGCCTTCTATGTGGCCTGGACATAGAGAATGCTCTGGAGGCAAAAGCTTGGAAGCCCCAACTCCTCCAGAGTCTAGGATGGGCCCAACCCATGTCCATTTCTATAGCCTCATCATCTCCAGAGCCACCATAGGCACATGAGCTCACGCTGCCTTAGTTAACAGCAACGGGCAGCTTCTGCCCCGAGAACTTTCTGCTGGCCCTCCTGGGCAGTCCTCCAGGGCAACAAGGGCTCAGGTAAGGCGGCTCACGTGCTGCTGGCTGTAGCCCTGCAGAAGGAGCAGGTGGGGCGACTCGTAGAGGGAGTAGCGCATGGTGTCCTGGATGGGTTCCTCGGGGCCCTGGGCAGCGTCGGGTAGGGCAGTGGCCGGGCTCAGGCTGGTCTCGCTGACGGTGCGTCGCAGCCGGGGCTGAGGAGAACTCTGGGCACCCCCTGAGGCCAGGGCTGGGGTTCCCTTGGCACGGCTCCGCTGCAGCCTCCGGGCTTGGGCGTTTATCCCTGAAGGGCAAGAAGCAACACGGGGGAAACAGTCAGAGCCTAACTGGGGCCACCGCTAGGCCTTCTGAATTCACACCTGATCTCAAGAAGTCATTTCTCCTAACTCCAGTCACTCTCGGTCAAGTAGGTATGCAGGAGGACGCAGGACTCCCAGATTGCATCCTCAAAAGGCGGGGGCATCTCTGGGCTCCCCATGAATGGCCAGGCAGCCTGGTGGGCCATCTCCCCAGTGGCCCTCCAGGAGCCTGCTGGCATACCCCGACCACCCGGACAAGCCCGCCACAGCCCTCCCCTCACCCCGGACACCAAACCCCCTGCAACATGGCCTTCTGCGGGTGACCATGCCAGGGGTTCCATGTGGGGCCACACCACCTCAAAGCCCTGCCCGGCGACCTGGCCTGGCCTGGCAGCTCACTTTTGTGTGTATAGGGCCACCTGTGAGTGCTGAGATTAGATGAGCCGGAACTGGTCATCTCCCTTCTCTCTGTTTTACAAGGAGGAAGAGGTCAGCTCGCTCACGTCACCCCAGCCCCTGAGCCAAGACTGCTCTCCTTCTAGGACAGTATGGCTGTCTCCTCCCAGAGGCTGCCACCAACGCCTGGGCAGCGTTGGGTCAGAGCACCACACACTTGAATGCTCATGCATGCACACACGTGTACATAAACCCATGCATGCACACATATGTACACACAAACACAAACACACCCATGAAAGACTCAGTCTTATATATCCAGGAAAGCAGAGAAAACACATGGGCCCCATGAGCGCCATCTCCCGTCTCACTGTTCCCCCAGGGCTTTCCTTCTGAGTCCTCAGCGAGCCCCCTCCGCAGCCTCCATCCGGCTCCATCTGCAGCGTCCCTTCCTACAATCATTTCAGACAAAGCCAGACAAAGCCAGAGGAAGCAAGGCGGGGCCGGGGTGCTACCTTACCAGGAGCTGGCGGCTAAGCCAGCGTGAAGACAGCCTGCCCTTCCAGAAGGAAGCTGCTCTTCCGCAGCCCACAGGGGGCCAGGCTGCAGGAGGCGAGGGGCCAGCCGCAGTGCTTTGGCGGCCCCACTGCTCCGCCTGCTGCAGAGTCAGGCTAGCGGCGGGCAGGCAGGGAGCAGACGGGGCAGGGGGGCAGCGGGGAGGGGGGTAGAGAGGAGCAGGCGGAGCAGGGAGAGCACAGATGGGAGAGGAGCAGGCGGGGATGGGAGGGGCAGGCAGGGCAAGGGGAGCAGGCAGGAGGGGAAGGCAGAGTAGCCCCACCCCCACACGCACCCCCACTTTCCCTATTTTACCTGCCACTCTTTTAAGAACGGCTGACCCCTCGGCTGTGGAATCATTTAACAAGGATGGGGCCATCCCTGAGAGAACAATTTAGAGCCCAGCCCAAAATGATGATCTAGCCCCCAAGCTCTTCTCTGCAGAGAGGGTGCCCCTTCAGGGAAGGATGCACCTCAGAACCACCTTCCAGAAGTCCTGGGGCGGAGAGCCCCAGAAGATGGTCCTTTTCTCTTAGGTTCCCAGGCACTCCCAGAGGCGCTGTCACAGTGGAGGCAGGTGGCACAGGATGTTCAGTGTCCCCTGGGCTGAACCCACAAGGGGGCTTACAGCAGACGCGACCCCACTCTTCCAGTGAGGGCCTCGCACCTCCGTGCAGATGACCTCTCCCGGCGGTGCCCTGGGCTGGTTCTCTGACCCCACCCTCTTCGGCGGTGGTTCTGGTTCCTGCCTGGCCTCAGAACCACCTGGAGCCGCCAGCTCCAGGCCCCCTTAATAGGTTGTGGGGTGGCCTGCCTAAGGCTGATGGGCCCAGCTGCGGGGTGCTGGCTCTGAGTACTGTCAGAGGTCACTAGGAGAGGTGACGCAGTTTTTAACGTACCGAGGCCCCCAGAGCTGAGTTCACCTAAAGGCAGGAGGAGGCAGGAAGCAGGTGCGGCTGCTGGACACCAACACCAGCAGCGTCTGCACAGCCAGCGTGCAGAGCAGTCACGGTGCCCAGCGGCCACCACCCTGCACATGCCTGTGTGGGCAGGGCAGGAGGACCTTGGCAGCCCCGTGACCACTGAACGGGCCACATGACCCCCACGGAGGACCAGCCTTTCACAGGACAAAGACCAGGAAGCAGGGGCCAGAGTGCCCGGGAGTGGGGTGGAGGCAAGGTGGAGATGTGTTCACAGGCTCGAGAAAGCACACGGACACCACTGTGCATTGCCCAGGTTGGCGGGTATGTGGATATAAAGCCATTTTTAAAAAAACAGGAAAGGCACCCAGCAAATTCAAGACGTGGCTGCTTCCAGGTCAGGAGGCATACGGTGGCCGCCCCGTCTCACAGACGCATGTAACTCCATCACCTACAGAGCAGAGAATGTATGTCTATACCTAACTTTACTTATATAATGTCTTACTCATTTTGTTTTTAAAAAACCCTCTAAATAAATACGATAAAAAAAATTATGTCTATTAGGGAGGTAGGTACCCAGGTGTCAGTTACATTAGCCTACACATTTTATTTTTGAAAACTTTTCTTAAAGTAAAAATCACAGACATTTTGAAGGCCCATCACTTGCATATGACTTTGTGGGTCCCCCACAGTGGGTGGAGATGGGCCCCATCCCAATGCAGCCACTGGAGATGAAGCCCCAGGACCAGGTTCCCAGAGGCGATCCTCGGAGGGTTTTGGCTTGCAGGGTGCGGATAGGGGCGTGGCAGTCCCTGCTGACAACTGATTTCACTTCAGGGGCACCATCAGGAGATCCTTGCAGATGAGCCTCATTTTCTGCTGTGGTCCCTGAAAATCACCTCCCTGGGCAGGCCTTAGGACACATGCTGCTCCGACGGCTTCTGGGGCACATTCTGTGAGTGCTTCTGCCCACACATCCACCTGCTGCCATCCTCTACCCAGGAGCTAACTGAGAAGGTTCTGGAATCCGCCAAGCATAGGAACCACCGCTCAGGTACCTTCCCTTTCCCCAAAGCCCTACTTGTCCAGAGAAATCTTTAGAAGGCTGGGATAACTTGCTCACATGCTTACTCTGTTTCTTTGCATTTTGGATAGCTAATCTTCCCTAGATAAAGAGAAGTTCCTAGAACTTCTACTTTCCAGAAAGCTAGTGGCTCCTCGTCCCCTGTTAGGCATTGTGGAAAAGCAGAAACACAACCCAGGAGAGGAATGAAAGGAGAGGTCCGGGTAACTTGATCCTTCGGCTACTGTACTTGCCCCACAACAGACCTGAGGACCCACCTCATTCTTGCCTAAGGACACACCTGGGCCCATCTCACCTCCCAACATCTGCAGATACACAGGGCCCCAGACTGAGAAGCAAAATGATCACTTTCCAGCGTTTTAAGAGGATAACACAAGGTCAGACCCTGAAACAACTCTTGCAGCCTCTTAAGGGAATCATGGGCGAATCTAACAGGCCCCGACCTGGGATGTTAAGGGCCTGCCCTGCAGCTCCTGAATTACATGTCTCTGACGTGAGAACTAGAGAAGTACAACTGTGATAGAGACGGTGAGAGAGTCAATGTTCCTTCACATGGACGAGTTTGAAGACAGGAGCCCTGAGCTTTTCTTTCCCTGGTGGCAGGTTCTAGAGAGATTCTTTACCTGCCAGAATCAAACCTGCCAAACAGGCAGCTCTGCAGGGCAGGGATCCATGGCTCCTTATCTCCTTGGATCAGACACTCCTGGCCTGGCAGCCATCTGGGCCAGGTTGGGGGAGGCGTGGGGGGGTGGGGGGGTGCAGAAGGGCTGGGTGGATGACATCTGGACCGATGGCTCTTAATATGCACCTTCTCTCTCCTCCAGAAGAGGTTGGTGCAGATGTACCCTCCGCTGGTGGGGAGAAGAGGACTCTGTATACCAGGGTGACAAAATTAAGTGTGAAAACAGCTGGTAGCTGTCATTAGAGCACAGTCATGGGCTCTAGGCTGGTTCCAGGTCAGCACTGGAAAGACAAATACAGTTCTTTTCCTGAACGTCACCAAGATCAGGACAACACAGTCAACCTGTAGGTCTCCCACTGGATCCTGTTTTCTCTTCTCTCCCTGGATTCCAAAGGTTTGAAACAATATATACAACTGGAGGTTTCTGTTGCTTACACCCTCTACAGGGCTGAAGAGGTCTCTGAGGTGTGATTATGGCTGATGATTGATGGGGCCATGAACTCGCCCTATGTTAGGGAATTTTACTAAAGTTGGGGAATGAGACCATTACAAAGTTATCCTCAGTAACAATAACACTGCTGAGATAAGCGCTGCAGTAGTGGCTGCCAAATGCAGAGGTCAGACTGGCCTTAAACAAGTTTTTGTTTTTTTTGTTTTATTAACTGGAATGCCCTTTCTAGGTTAGCAAGGGACATGCAGCTCTAAGTTAGCCAAGCAATCTGTGGAGCAAATTTGAAATATTTTATATTTGAGATGTAGCAAAAAAAGAATTATTTAAAGACAAGCTGGTGAGCACCTATCTACTACATGGTCAGACTTATTCTGAACATTTGCATTTAACTCCATTTTATTCTCATAAAAAATCTGATGATGGAAATAGGACACCCCACTGTGTTGAGTGGAAGAACTAGAAGGGAAACTCCTCATCCTGACAGAGGCCCTCCACGCAAACGCACAGCTAACACCAGGCTTCCTGGTCAAGGGCTGAGCCCATTCCTCCAAAGATGCAGAAAAGACAAGGAGATCTGCTCTTGTCACTTCTAATCCACATTGTGTTGGGTTTCTAGTCAGGACAATCAGGCTAAGAAAAAGAAAGAAACAGCAAGAAAATTAAAAAGGAGTAAGTAAAACTGTACTTGCAGATGATACAATTTCACATGTAAAGTTCAAAAGAATCCACTAATAAGAGAACTCAGCAAAGCTGCAAGATAAAAGGTCTACACTGAAAAATCAGTTGTTTTTCTACACGCTAGCAACAAATAACCCAAAAGCGAATTTAAGAAAATAATTCCATTATAACAGCATCAAAAAGAATAAAACATTTGGGAATAACTTTAACCAAGAAGG